CCCTTTTGGTCCAAATGTGATGACGCCATTCCACGGGGGACAGAGTAGACTCCTCAACAAATGGTGCCCAAACAACTGGATACCCACACGCAGAAGGGTGAAGAGGCACCTCCTGCCGCACACGCTACAGAAACAGGAGCTCCGAGGGGACCAGAGCAGCGCATGAGCTAAAAGTAAAAACTCTTGGAAGGAAACCTAGTGACAAATCTCTGTGACCCTGTGACGTCAAGAACCTAATCTTGTCCAAATAAAAGTGGCCAAGGACACGATCAGAAGCATGAAGATAAGCCACCGCAGGGGAGACAATCGTTGCAAATTGTATATGGAATGAGGGTCTCCTTGTGGTTCTAAGGAGGCCTGGCGTTTTGAATGAACGTCCACCCAAAGAAGATCTCCAAATTGCCTATGTGCCCACGGAACGATGGTCGATATCATTAACCGTTAGGGACGTGGAAGCCGCAGTCACCATGAGATGTCACCTCACACCCCACCCCCCATCCAACAGGTGGTGGCGAGAAAGGGAAGACAGCTGAATCCTCACCCAAGGCCAATGGGAATGGAAAACGGGATGCTCAAGGGGGAGACGTTCTGTGCCCCCCCTAAAGGTTAAACAGAGCATTACCGCATGAGCCAGCCGTTTCCGCCTCGGTGCGGACTCCGTTCTCCTGAGGACACATCCACACGGAAACACGCACACCCGCCGCTCATGGTCACACAAAGGTGGACGCGACCCAAACATCCGCCCACAGAGGCACCAATGAACAAGCCTGAAGTTATTTAGCAAAAGGGACTCCTGCCACACCCTGGGGTGAGCCTCTGAACACGCTGCCCGGCGAAAAGCCACGCGTTGTATGGCCTACGTCCAGGAAGCCTCTAGAACGGGTCAGTCCAGAGACCGAGAGGAGAGGCTGGAGAGGAACAGAGAATGACTTGGGACCGGTACAGGGTCTCTTTCTGGGGTGACCTAACAATGTTCTGGAATCCATGGTGTGGGGGCACCCCCTGGTGAGCATACTGAAGACCTGTGAATTGTGGACATCCAGGTGCTGGCTCGGATGCCGCCTGATCATTGCACCTTGGGAAAAGGAGCGAGGAGGGGACAAGCGGCCAACTTCCAACACCCCTGAGCCCACTCTAATGGTCACCCCACCCCACCCCCAAATGCCATCTCCCATGTCCTGTGGCCAGTCCCTTACAGATGGCAACACTGCCACGCACGTGCCAGACAGACACACAGGGACGCCTGCAAACACACACACACAACCAAGCCACACAGGCAGATGCAACGATGCACAGGTACACCCAGATACCCGCCCCAGACTGACCGTGAAGGTGGTGAAGACCCAGTCCCTGGGGAGGCCCTTGGCTTTCCTGAACTTGTCGTTGATGTAGCGGTTGAGGTGCCCCATGCTCCACACTGTATCCTCCTTGAGCAGCATGTAGAGGGGGCTCTTCTTCTGCATGAACTGGGAGTGGGGGGGGGAGCTGGGCCTGGAGACCACTCAGAACCCCCAGAAACCTGCCCCACAGAGGGCTCTATGGAGGCCCTGCCTCGGCCCCATCCCCACCCCTCACTTCTGAAAGCCCCCCTCCCCAAAGAGCCTCACCCTGGCCTGGTGACCTGGGACTCCCAGAGACCCTCCTGTGGCCCTGCCCACTGGAACCCTTCAACGACGCCTCCCTCCATGGAGATGCCCACCAAGATCCTCCGTCAACCAGTTTCCCTTTGGAAATTGTACCTACTGAGGCCTCCCTCCTGTCTGTGCCCATCTGGACTCCTCCCCACCAGGGCCCTCTTCAGAGACTATAGCGTGTGACCACTGCCACCCTCAGTTACGCCCCCTCGCCCTGGCAGTCAGCACACCCTTGGGGTGGAGATAAACAGGGCTTCAAGGACAGTGAGACCTGCTGCCGTCTTCTGCCTGGGCTGCAGGTGAGAGGCTGCGCTGATGTAGCCAGGGTTCAACCCAGACCACCTCAGGCCTGGCCTCCCTCTGAGCCTGGCTCTCCCGAGCCCGGTCCATCTCCTGACCAGGTGCAGTACAGCCTGAGGCCCCTCTGTTTGTTCCAAGCAGGGAACCTCATCTTCTCGTTGGGTTCCTAAGGCTGCCCTGCCTGTTGGGGGCCCTCACCTGGTTGGTCAAGTGGCCACTGAGGTCACTGGAGTTGGGGTCATAGAGCCCGAGGGTGAGGCGGGCATAGCCATGGCCAAAGAAGACCATGTAGGGCATGGCACACGCGATGAGCAGGTAGGAGCGCACGTCGAACTTCTTCCCGTCCAGCAGCAGTGGATTCTGGATGTACCTGGGACGGCACACGGGGATGGGGGTGGGGGTGGGGGTCGGCTGGAGTGCAGCTGCGTGGCAGCCTGGCTGGTGGCCCAAATCAAAGTCCTTGTCCTGAGCCTGCCCAGGGCCCTGGGTCCCGGCCTACTGCCTGTATCTGGGGGTGACCGGTGCAGCTCTCAATCGGAGCTTGAGGGTGGGAGGAGGGCTGGAGGAAGAGGGAGCTCTGTCTGAAGCAGGAGATAGTGGTTATGCCATGGCCCATTAAACATAAGGTCAGCAGTTCGAAACCACCAGCCGCTCAGAGGGAGAGAGGAGACAGTTTACTTCCATAAAGAGTTACAGTATCGGAACACCTCTGGGGCAGTTCTGTCCTATCCTATAAGGTCAAACCTTGGCAGTGAGTTTGGAGTTTTGGGTTTGGCCAGGAGGAGGAGGGGAGTGTCTGGAGGGATGCCTAGACTAGGAAGAGGAGGCTTTCTGGGGCACGGGGTGCCTGGAGGAGTGGTCTTGGAGAGGGAGGCAGGGGAGAGTCCAGTTGGAGGAGCCTGTAGGATCAGCGGTGTGATTGGGCTGGGTGGGATCCATATACACGCCCCTTCACATCAGGCTGAGGGTCTGCTCCAGAAACTGGGGGGTCAAGGGAAGCCGTGGAGGTTCTGAACAGGATGGGAGTGATCAGAGCTCTCTGGGTGGGGGTGAGGGGCTGGGGGCCGATGGAGAGGCAGGGCTGGGGTAAGGGACAGACTCACCACCTCCCTCCACCCTCACCCTCTGTCCAGAGGCCACGTGCTAGGCCTCCTGGGGGTGCCTTGTCTTGTGTCCTTAACCAGATGTGACGCCCCCACCTCTGTTGGCTACACAGGTCCCCCACGGTGGCCTGAGCGAGCCAGAGAGCAGACAGCTGGGGGGCAGGGGGTGCATTGCGGGGGGCAGTCGAGGGCACATCATATACTTTCTGTGGCCAAGTGTGGCTGTGAGTCCTCACAGGTACCTGTGCGCTCCACGATCAGCCCCCCAAGAGCGCCCCACCTGCTCGCCCCGGTACCTCTGTATGATCCGTGCCTGGGGCGCCCGGAAAGGCATCCTGCGGTAGATGGGGTCGTCCTCGATGCTCTGCGCCCGGGCCTGGAGGGCAGCGACCTCCTCCTGGGTGCGGAGCAGGAAGATGCCCTTGCCCTGGTTGGAGGCGGTGGGCTTACAGATCCAGGTCTGGGTCTCTGCGGAGAGCGCCTCCCTGAGCCTCCTGCAGGCAACCGCAGCCCGGCCTCCTGAGCCCCGCCCCTGGCGCCCTGGTCCCGCCCCTGGGTCCCGCCTCCCTAGGGCCTCCCACACATGCCTGGAAGCTGGCGACCTCACCATTAAACAGGGCGAAGAAGGCCTCCCGCTCGTCCCGGATGTCCAGGCGGTAGGTCTCTGGGAAAAACTCTTCCATTTTCAGGGTCCTGGAAGCAGGAACGTGAGGCAGGCCCTCGGAGAGGGGGACGAATCCTGTTGCCCCCAGTCCCACTGCCCTCCCACCCATTGGCCCCTTAGGGCTCGGATAAGGGCAACTTCTGGCTGCCTGGCCCTTCCGGGCTGCCCTCCCAGCCTGCACCCGCTCAGACATTTCAGTGTGGTCAGCTCAGAGCTGTGTCCCCAGGCCCTGGCCAGTCTATGCTTGAAGGGTGGCAGGGCTCAGCTGCTGCCTTCTTTGACCTGGGCTGTTTTGTCCCTTTGCGCCGGATACCAGGCCACCCTTCCATTGAGACCAGAAACTGCCGCTCAGGGCCAAATCCTAGGCTGGCCCACGGAATTTCTTCACGGTTTGTGCTGTGTTCTTTTCCAATCTGTGCCCCGGGGACGCAGGACCTGCCCCTCAGTGGGCAGTTCAGTTTTGTTTGGGGGGTGGGGGGTGAATGAGATGGGGTCCGGAGAGACGGAGGTGTGGAGGTAAAATAAGGGTGTTTGTGGCTGGGATCCCCGGTGGTACTGTTGAGTAAGCGTTAGACTGCTAATCACAGGGTCAGCTGTTCAAACCCATTAGCTGTTCTTCAGGAGAAAGAGGCGGCTGTCTGCTCCTGTCAAGATTTATCAATCCCCCCACGCAATTCACAGTAAGAAGTTTGAAAAATAAAAAGGTTGATAACGTCTTGAAAACCTTGGTTGCTTTGAGTTGGAATCCACTCAATGGGTCTGTTTTTTGGGCTTTGCTTTTAGTGGACGGTAGACAGCTGGATTTGGGATGGAAGTAGGTGGTTGAATGAATGGGTTTGGGGTGGATGGGTGGGTGAATGGATGAATGGAGGATGGATAGATGGAGGAGGGATGGGTGGATGGAGGAGGGATGAACCGATGGATGGGGAGGGCGGATGAATGGATGAATGGAGGATGGATAGATGGAGGAGGGATGGGTGGATGGAGGAGGGATGAACCGATGGATGGGGAGGGTGGATGAATGGATGAATGGGTGGATGGATAGATGGAGGAGGGATGGGTGGATGGAGGAGGGATGAACCGATGGATGGGGAGGGCGGATGAATGGATGAGTGGGTGGATGTGTAGCTGGAGGATAAATGGATAGGTGTGGGGTGGGGAGGGTGGAGGGATGGATGGGGGAAGGATGGATGGCTATGGTTGGTTGGGTGGGTAGCTGGCCCAGTGGGTGGGAGGATGCATTTTGCACATTAGACCAGGGGTGGTGGCTGGTGGTGGCCAGGTGCATGAAAGATGCGGTGATGTGATAAGCATGGAGACTTGTCGGGCAGGTGGGTGGGTGGATGCATAAGTATGGCCGGCGAGTGGTTGGATGAGAGGGTGGCATGGCAGTGACGATAGACGAGCACCGGGAGGATCAGGCGCGGGTAGGTAGTGATTGTGAAGGAGACTACTTTGGCAGTGGCGGGTGGTGAGCCATGGAATGGCGGAAGGAAGGAGCCCTAGGTGGCTCTGTGGTGGGCTGTGGTATGAGTGTGTGGGGTTGGGGGGGGGGGGGAGTGGAGATAGGATGGGCCAGTGAACAGGAAAGGTGTTCTAGTGGCCTCGAGGTTACACGTTGGGCTGCTAACTGCAAGGTCAGCAGTTCGAAACCATCAATTGCTCTGTGGGAACAGGCTTTTCCTCCAGTAAAAAGTTCTAGGCTCGGAAGCTCCCAGGGGCAGTTCTGCCCTGTGCGATGGGTTTGCTATGAGTTGGCACAGACTCAATGGCAGTGAGTTTGGGGAGGAGGAGTTACAGGGTGGATCTGAGGCCCAGTGAGTGGGGGTGGGGGTGGGTGGGGGTGGACTCGGTGAGTCATGCAGGAGGGAAGTGCTAAGTGGACGTGTGGGGCTGGCAGGAGGCAGGCAGGTAGGTGAGAGGATGGGTTTGGGGTGAGTTATGGGATGGGCAAGGACAAAGGTAGAAGGACATGGTGGGGGTGGGGCAGAGCGGACTGGAGTCGGGGAGCTGAGCTAAGCAGGGCTGAGCTTACTTGGATTGGGGGCACAGACAGGTCTTGTTGATCTTGCTCACCACCCTCGAGTACTCCCTCAGGGCGCTGAGCAGGCCGATCTTGGTGGTGAGGAGCTTGTTGTTGGGGAGCTGGTAGAGAAGCTGTTCACCTGGCACGGCAGAGCCCCGGGGCGGCATTGGTGGCTGCCCTGCCAGCTTGACCACCTCAACTCCTTCCCTCCCTCGTCACCACAGCGCCAGGCCACTTTGACAACTGGGGGACAGCTGGGTGCCACTCAGTCCCACTGGCCGGCCCGCTGGGAGGCCCCCTGACTACCTTCCCGGAAGCTGCAGTAGGTGTCCCTGCTCTTGACCTCACACCACTTGAGCTTGTAGTCCTCCCGCCGGCTGTCCTGGATACGATGCCAGCCTCTGCTCCGGCAGTAGGCGCCGATTCTGCAGGGGAGCGAAGGGCAGCCATGACCTGGGCCTGTGGGCCCTGGAGGTGGGGCAGAGGGAACTCGGGGGAAGACCGAGGAGACCCTGGGGGAGGGGTGTGGGGACCCTCCAGGAGAGGGCCTGGGGCAGGGGCAGTGAGAGTGAGTCCCCCTCACATGGAGGCCCCATTGGTGCCCCCGATGTAGAAGAAGGGGCCATGCCCATTGCTGGGCGTCTGCTTGTCCCCCTCCAGCAGCTGCTCCTCCAGGGAGGTGGCCTGGGGCCCGGTGGTGTCAGCATCCTCGGAGAACTCTGTGGGCAGTCAAGAGTCAGAGGGGGGCGGGCCCTGCCCTGTGGGGGCCCTCCCCGCCCACCCCAGCCCTGTGACCTCAGACATCCCCCCCACCCCACCCCCACACCTGCATCATGGTCCAGCTGGTTCAGCTGATGAAGGGGCCCCTCCTCTTGCCCACTGCCCATCGATCTCTCATGGGCCCAGCCTGGGGACAGGGTGAGGTTAGGCTGGGGGCCAGCGGGGTCCACTTGGCCCTGCTCCTCTGGTCCTGCCCTTTGTGTGCACCTCCCAGGCATTCCCCCAGTGCTGACTTGACCCCAACTTCAGCTGGGACCTGGCCAGGGAGGGAGGTTGCTCGCCACACCTCCTAGGATCAAGGGAAAACCACCTTCTCCATGGGCAGGGAAGCAGAGCTGCCCAGGGTGGTCTACTTTAGAGACAGACGGCTGGCCAAGCTAAATACCCTCCCTCCCCACCTCCCCTCCCCCCACCAGACCTCCCTCTCTCTGTCCTCAGCTCGGCCTGGCTCTCATGCTGGGGGTGGCACAGCCCGAGGCAGGGAATCCTTACCCTTCTCCTCAGCAAGGCACCACTGGGCATGGGAGGGGGACTAAGGTGTAAGGGCCAGACCATCCTCAGGAGTAGCAGGGGTCACAATGTGCATGATGATGTCACATGTGCCCAAGCCATTGTCCCGGGTCTGCATGGGCAAGGGGCTGAGGGCTTGGGGCACAGCTGGGGTGGTAGGGCCAGTGCATCCCCCATGAGGCTCAGCTGGCCCAGCCCACCCCTCCTACCCTCCAACTGCCATGGCTCCTCCCTCTGGTGGGGGCCAGCTGGACACTTCCCAGGGTGACTGAGAGTGTGACTGCAACCCCACCTGGCCCGGGGGATCTTCTTTGATGGAGGGGGTGCCTGCCTGGGCTGGCTTGTGTTCACCTGGCCCTTGGAGGCGGCCTCTCCGGACCACTGCCACCCTGGATCGCTTGTTTCTCTTGGTGGCAGTCTGGGCCCATGTGGGGGGTCCCCGGCGGTGGGTGAGCGGGGTCCAGCTTCGGGCGGTGGGTATGGAAGCAGTGGGGTGGGAGTCCCTCTGAGTAAAGGGGGCCCCTGCCCTCCGGTGGGACCTCAGGGCTGCCTGGGGTCCTGGCCCTTGGACCTGTCTCAAGGTCGGGTCTGCTTTGCCCAGGGGCGGGACCCTCTCTGGGTCCTTAGCAGGGTCCTCTGCCTGGGGCTGGCTCCGGACTCTGTGCGGCCTGTGGGGCTTGGTGCCTCGAGAGGGCTGGCCTAAGCCAGCATCCTGTCTGCCCTGGGTGTGGCCTCCCCTGGAGGGACTGGCCGTGGGGCGTGGGCGTCGATCCTCCACGCTTCGGCGCCGGCTGTAGGGAAGGGAGGTCAAGTTTGCAGGCAGGGTCCGCCGGGGTGAGGTCCCCTCCCCTCTTGCCACCCCATGGTTCTTCCTGGACAGTCTTCCCATCACCCAAGGTCCCGGCCCCGGAGGTCGCCCCCATGTCTGAACACCCCTTCCTGTGTCACCCACTTAGCGGTATTTGGTGGGGGGCGGGAATGCCAGCTAACAGAATCATTGTTCAGGTGGCTGGGCGAGGCTTTGTCCACTGCCCTGAACAGGAGGGCTGTGCTAGGCAGGGGGTGGTCAGGGCCATCGCTCCCCTCAGCGCTGGCACCCTGGACAAGCACAGAGGCCCGAGAGGACAGCCAGGTGGGGACTGTCAGCACCCCTGTTGGCAGGAAAGCTGGCTTACGGACTGACCAGAGACATCGTGACTTGGTCGCAGAGTGGGCCTTCTGAAGGCTTAGGAGGGCGTGGCCCACAGGACGACTCGGGAGCTGGGAACTGAGGGGGGTCGGTGCTGCGCTGGACAAGGACCTGCTCCTGGAACAGAGAGACAGCTGCTCGGTGGGGCCGTCCAGGGTACGCCCGGGCTCTGGGGCAGCACACAGACGTGCTCACGGACATGTCCAAACACTCCCCAGACACACACACACACACACA